GGCGGGCGTGTTGTCGTGGTAGCGGACGTTTGCGCCAAAGTTATCCAGGTCGTCTGCCCATGGTGGTCCAGCGTCGTCTGCGCACTGCTGCGATGGGCCCTCCGGGCTTTGGCACCACCCGTCGCTGTTGCATCCGGAGGCGGTCGCGGGGGAGGGTGGTGGCAAGGAGGATGCCGGCGGTGGCGGCGCTGGGGGTGGCTTCGTCGGCACTGGCACACAGCACCTGGAGCAGAGCTGGGAGCAGGAGGGCAGCATGCACGCGGAGGGCTGGCAGATGAAGTCGCACACCTCCGATGGACACGTGAGGGCTGGCGGCTCGACGCCGGCGAGCGGCAGCAGCGCTGACATGTCGCCGTGCCGGTCACAGTAGTAGCGGAGAGAGCCGTTGTACGAGGGCGGCACAGTGAAGGTGACGGTCCCGCTGCTGCCGACGAGCGGGAACGCTCCCTCCTACGGCACCTGCAACAACAAAACTGCACGAGCAGGATCTTGTAAGGACGATCCGGGACAACGGGGAACGGGAGCATTGAGCGCATAGCGACACGGAGGGGGGCTGGGCAGGATTCACCCACACGACAGGGTCCATCCAAGGGGTTTGGTATATATAGTTAGGGAGGAAAAAGTACGCGAGAATCAGTCAGAGACCTGGTTTCTAGATAGGGAGGAACAGAAGGGGTTGATGCAGGCCTGGCGAGGTACTCCCACGCCTCTCGGGGGTTTTGTCTAGCGCGTACCTACCTATTGCAGGGCCCTTTTGGGCCAAACAAGACCAACCTACCTACCTATCTGGGAGGGGCCAGCCAGGCGCAGACCCCCTATCCGGCTAGGAGCCGGAACCCAGCAGGCTGGAAGTACCTCGCCCTATTGCAGGCCGCTGCCGTTCTTCGATGTCCCACACCTTTAGCGCTCCCGCGCCACTCGAGCTGGCTTCCCTCCCGGTGGAGCTCCTCTTCAAGGTGCTCCTCAGCCTGCGGGCGGACGGCCTGGCGCGCGCTTCACGGGTCTGCCGCGCGTGGCAGGGCTTGGTGGTAACAGCGGCTCGCGAACGGCTCCTAGCGCTCAGAGGTCCTGCTGCGGCCGGCACTACTCCGCACGGGCCGAGCCTGCTTTGCTCTCTCTCAGCCGCCGAGGATCTGACGCGCCGTATCGGAAGGCGGGCCGACGGCAACGGCAAGCAGCCCTGGCGCGGCCAGAACTGGCGCGATGAGTGGGTGAAGATACGGCGGGAGGAGCTTGTGCTGCAGGGCAACGAGCTCGAGGACATTGTCGTGGAGACAATAGAGACCACCCTCCCTCGGTTTCGCCAGGAGGTCGAGTGGCTGGTTCAGTCCGGTTGGGAGGGTTGCGACGCCAAAGCCTACACCCTCCTCGTCTACATGGGCCGCGGCGCGCTCGGCGCGGCTCTGCGAGTGGGCTCGCGTAGGTACGCCGCAAGCACGCACGCGCTGACCGGCCTGCTGCTTTCCCGTGCGGGCCAAGGTGAGCTGGCCCCTCACTGCTTTTGTAACCTGAGCGGCCGCTGGGGCCTTTCCGAGGAGGACCCGGCGTGGGGCGCCCTCTCCGCCGCTGGGGCGGCGCCGGGCGCAAGCTTCATTGCCACCACCGTCTCCGGCGGCCTCGTCGCAAACGACCACACCTTTGCTGATGGGCGCGGCCTTCGGATCCCGATCTTTTGCGCGCACGGCGTTGAGTACCAGCTGCAGGACGCGGCGGTGGTGGCGTTCGTGAGCCCGCCGCCCAGCCGCGAGGGCTGGCACGCGCTTGTGCAGACGACACCGACGGGCTTTAGTCTCCCGCCCCTCGCGCGCGTAACGCTCGTGAGCGTGTCAGAGGCGGGAGAGTGGGCCGCCAACGGGCACCGTGTTTGCCAGCGCTGCTACACGGTGAGCGTCAGCTATGCGTGAATCTCGAGCAGCGCACGTAGCGCCGGGCTCTGCGCCAAAGTGCACACGGCGGCGAATAGGTGAGCACAAGAAAAAAGGGTTTATAGAAATGAAGTGTGCCAAAACCGCAGGCCCGTGGCTTGACGACGGTGTTCAGGTGGGCCCTCTCGTGCCTCTCAGTCTCTCCTCCCTCTCCTCAGGCTCTCACGTCTCAGCGCTTCTATCTCTCTAGCTCCCCTCAGCCCTCAGCCCCTCACCCCTGCGCCCCTCTACAAACAGCTTCGAAAGTGTCTCCTCCCAGTGATCCGCCACCATGTAGTCGCCAAGGTACCCAAACAGATTCACCTGGCCCGGGGTGTACGCGTCGATCTTGCACCCGTCGCACGCGCTGAGATTTTGCCCCGCAATCTTGAGATGCGGGAAAGTGTTGTAGCGGTCATTGCTCAGGATCTCCTTGCCAACCTGTGCCGCCCACGAGCCTTCCCCCCACGCGCGGGTGGTGAGAGTGGCGCGACTGGGATGGCTTGGGTGTGGGAGGACGGCACGCCGCCACCACACAGGGATTTCACTGGAAGGAAAGTGTGTTGCTAGCCGTCGCCCACCCTTGGGGGCGTCCGCCTCTCCCTTCGCAGTCCCTCGCCGATTCTCGCTGCAACCTTCATGCCACCTCGCGGTCG